AATAAACCTCCTGCCTTCCAAGATCTCCGAGTGCCGCTTGGTTCTTCTGCCACGTGATCCAGACCAGTTTCCGTAACACCCTTTCAGGAATACACTGTTTAGCAGTCAGCTTAAGGCGGGTGGTGGGATGGATGATAGATGTCGAGTCCAGAATTATACTTGTTATTTGGTATATGCTCATTGCTTTTACACATTCCACTTAAAAAGGCAGAGTTGCTCATAAAGTCATGATAAACTCATAAGGCATAAAATTCTCTAAATGGCATCATAGGAGAAGTTCATTTGTCCCATAGGGAAGTGGACAAAATAATAAAACCGCCCATGTGGAAATTAAGGACGGTCAAAAAAGGCACCCTGGGCCACTTGTGTGCATCATGACAGAAGTGTGTCAAATGTGTAGAAAATGTGCACCACAATTGTCAGAGGCCATGTGAAGTTAGCCTGGTAACAGGACTGAGAGTTGTTTAGCCCTACGTGTTGAAAGTGAATAAATTCTGTTGAAATGAATCATCCCAGTTCTGCTAGACTTAAGATTGCTGAATGTTGGTCTTCATTGGCACGTTAGGCAGGGAAAACAAATCATACCTTAAAATAAGTGCCTTATATCTAACTTTTACTGAGCACTGACTAGGCACAAGAGAAGAGTTGGAACGTTGGGGAAAATACAAAGAACTGCAGCTCCCTGCGCTTGACCTACCCACCCAAGGAAGTCAAAACATATGTACATAGAAAGACACCTGAAAGTATAAAACGGTCCCTCAAGAACAGTCAAACCATATAGGCGGTAAATGTTACAGGGACTGCCTGGGTGCACACACCAGGCCACATAAATATTTCTGCAAACCACCCAGACGATTAGGAAGGAAACCATAAACCTGATTTCTCTGTCCTGTGGATAGAAGCTAGGCCCTTGAAGACTGAGCAGGAATGTAGAATCAGAAGGAAACGACTCACTCTTGGCCCTTAGTGAGTCACTAATGTCATTTCTTGTGGGTGTAATTGGGGGAAGGATTTGGCCAGCGGGAGGGTGGAAAAGAAGGGAAGGGGAACTAGGAGATTGCATGTGGGAGTGGCCTTTAGGTTCTTAGTAAAGTTCAGGCGTAATTCCACCTCCTTGCTATTCCAGTAGTTTAAGAAAAGTGTTCTTTAATTTACTCTGAGAAACTGGGAGGTAGGAGATTGTGGCAGAGCTTTTTTTTCTTTTTAAGATTGTTTTGTAATATGAGAAAGATCAAACATCCATAAACAATGAGCGTCCTTAGACTGCCGTCCCTGCTGCCAGAATTTTTTTAAATGTGGGAGGCAAGAAACCCTGAGGTAACATTCTTTTCTAGTGATTAAAACAGACAATCTCTGCTTATCCTATATTTTCTCCCAGCCACATCCTCAGTGGTTGGTTTATAGCTTCTCAGGTAATTTTATACATTCTACTCAATTTAAAAAGAAAGCAGGAGGTATTTTACAGGGCCAGAATGAATTAAAATTCATTAGATACATGTTTCTTCTTGCCCCAAACCGCAATAACATGGAACAAATCCCAAAGCAAAATGACCTGAGTCAAACAGGTTTTGCAGCTGACTTGTGTAGCACCACCACCCTCCCCACCCCCTTCTCCCCAGGCAGCCTGGCTGGGGCCTGAGACTAGTGACCTCTGGGTAGAGGTGTCCCTCCTCAAGAGATGAGGATATCTGTGTGGGGAACCTTGTTTTTGTTTAAGATCTTGGAAATGTGGAGCTGGAAAGTTATGTTTGCTTCATTAGTTTATTGAAGAGAAATAAGTCGGGTGACCCATATTATAATTTTTCATAAGTGATTATTGAACATGTATAATATAATTTTATTGGAAATCCATCTGTTAATGAGACGATTAGTGGGTGAGGGGTGTGACTCTTGTGGTGTACTTATTAAAAAGAATTGGCAGATTGTCCCTTTGGCCTCAGAGGATTTTCCACAATGAGTGATGGTAGGACCCAGAAGGGCAGAGATGCCTTTGTCTGGTGCACTAGGAGCACCTGCACCGTTGGCGGGGAAGTAGGAAGAGAGACCTGGCGCCTCGGGCAGACCATTTTTAGAAGAGAGTACATCTGGAAGTTGAAGATCTGGATAGAAATGCATTCCTTTACAAAGGTCATGCTTCTATGCCTCCAAGGGTGTTTGTTCCCCATTTTGAAGACCTCTGGGCCAAACCACAGCCCTGGTTGGATCTACTCTTGACTGTTACATGCCTCAACCTGTGTCCCTGATGTGGCTGCGGAAAACACTGTCCTAGTGACGGGTATTGCTTTGAATTTATGAGTGTTGGCTTCACAGGAGTTGTTCAGACTGCCTGCCAACCACTCTAGATTTCCCTCGTCCACATTTTCACTTTTCTGCGTTCTCACTCTTCCTTCTGTCTGGAGGTGCTTCACCTCCCCCCCCACCGCCCCAGCTCATCACAGGTCTTAAGTGTCCTCTTTTTGGTGAAGCCACTCTGTCTGGACATCACTTCTCTGATATTTCTTCACAATTTTGCTTTATTTACTTTTCTCCTTTCTGATATTTATTCCTGCATAACTTATATAATTTACTTAATCATTTTGGTCTTTCTTCCCCCTGTTGTCTCTTCCAGTGACCAGTGACTTTTTTTTTTTTTTTTTTAAAGAGAATATGCAGGGGAAGGGGAAAAGAATCTTGAGTTGGGGAGTGGCAGGGGGGCTGGGAGAGGGCAGAGAGAGAGAATCTTAAGGAGGCTCTAGGCTCAGCATTGCAGGGCTCCATCCAATGACCCTGGAATCATGACCTGAGCCCAGATCAAGAGTCTGATACTCTATGGACAGGAGCCACCTAGGCATCCCTAGTCCAGTGGCTTTCAGGCACTAACTTGTATCGTCATCACCTGGAGGGCTTTAAAATACAGATTGTTGGGCCCTGCCCCAGAGTTTCTGATTCAGTTGGCCTGGAGGCAGGATCTAATAATTTGCATTTCTAACAGTTCCCAGGATACGCTGATTCTGCTCTTCTGGGGCCACACTTTGAGAACCACTGCACTAGGAGTGAGGACCAGATAAAAGTCCCAAGAGGACAGAGATTTTTTATTGGTACTGTAAACTGTTTCATTCCTAGAGGAATTCAGTAAATAGTTTTGAATGAATGATGAATAAAACTGCCTCAAAAAGTAAGAGCTTATAAGCAGTATCAAATACAAACACCCTATCAAAAAAGGATGCTGTCACGTACCTATTTTGTAAAGGCATGCTATTAAAAAAAACCTTAATTATGGTTTTGCTCCATAGGGAGAGAAAATAGAGACTCTAATTCATTTTGTTTTGTATAGAAAACAACATTATTGATATAATATGCATACCATTCAATATATCTGTTTAAAATGCATAAATGGCTTTTAATATTTTTCAGTTTTGCAGCCATGATCACAATCAATTTTAGAGCATTTTAATAATCCCAAAAGATCCTTCTGCACGTTACCAGTCACTCTCCCTGCCCTCCAGTCTCCCAGCCTGAGGCAGTCACTAATCTGCTTTCTGTCTCTCTAGCTTTTCTCGTGTTGGACAGTTCAATAAATGGAATTATATCATACATGGGTATTTGTGACTGGCTTCTTAGCCTAATGTTTTTGAGGTTCATCCAAGTTGTAACGTGTTTGAGTACTTCATTCCTTTTTGTTGCCCGATAATCCATTGAGTGGGTATATCGTGTAAATTTTAAAATATTTTATCTAATTATCAACTGGTGGACAATTGGGTTTCCACTTTTTGGCTTTTATCAATAAAGCTGCTAGGAACTTAGGTATGTGTGTTTTGTGTGGACATGTTTTCTTGTGAGTATCTGGGAGTTTAATTATTTGGTCACGTGGTAACTATATTTAACATTTTCAGAACTGCTGTTTGCCAAAGTGGCTGTAGTATTTTACATTTTCACCACAATGTATGAGGATTCTAATTTCTCTGTATTCTCACTAGCACTTGTTACTGTCTTTTTGATTATAGCCCTCCTGGTGGATCATATACGTATCTCTTTGTGGTTTTGATTTGCTGTGCATTTTTCTGGTGGCTAATGATATCGAACATCTTTTAATCTGCTTTTTTTGTCATTTGTATTTTTTGCTTGGAGAAATGTCCATTTGGATACTTTGAGACCTGTATAAATTTATGCCATTTTTGTTGAAGAATATTTGGGAAAATGATTGCATTCCTTTTTTTTTTTTTTTTTTTTTTTTTTTTTTTTTTGTGGAAATAAGCAATGAATTTCATGTTTTGCCAATTAATTTAATAATTTAATTAATCCAGCTAGTTTAATATTTGATTTAATTAATTTAACCCTCTGAGCCACCCAGGAACGCAAAAGCTCTTACTACTGTGCATTTCATGATGCCTACAGACATTCCTTCCACACTTTGTTTAGGAGTCTGCTTCTATGCTACCTTCTTAGAGGCCTTTCTTGATCGTCCTGGCTAGAGAGGTACTCATCCCTGATGTCTCTTTTCAGCTTACCATGTTTTATTTTTTACAGTCGCACTTGTCATGCTCTGATACGACCAAGTTTTACTGCTTTGTCTCCCCCAGTGTGATGCAAGCTCAGTGAGGGTAGGGACCCTGTTTAGTTCACATGGTATACTAGTAGGGCCTAAGTGAGTGGAAGACTGGGTTATGGAGTCCACTGCTCCCTTGTTAACTGGCACTTGGGCAAGTTGCTTAGCTTTTCTCAGGTTTAACATCTTCATTTGTAAAAACACAGGAGTAAGAGTTTTTGCGTTCCTGGGTGGCTCAGAGGGTTAAATTAATTAAATCAAATATTAAACTAGCTGAGTTGATTAAATTATTAATTAAATTAATTGGCAAAACACTGAACACCATGCTTAGGTACTATAAAGAAAACTGTTAGTTTTAATCTTTTTCCTTGCTTTTGGCATGTTACATAGAATAGTGACAGCAAGGAATATGTATTTACTTTTTAAAGGACTGAGGTAAATCAGAATTCTTTTTTTTTTTTTAAATTTTTTCCAGGGGATGCAGAGAGCAACTAATGTCACCTATCAAGCTCACCATGTCAGCAGGAACAAGAGAGGTCAGGTCGTGGGGACCAGAGGTGGTTTTCGTGGCTGCACAGTTTGGCTGACAGGTAAGATCAAGAGAAATAAACCAGTTAATTTCAAAAGCAGTGTTTATAGGCAGTCTTGAACAAGGATTAAGGGTATTTATTTAAATTTTGAGCTATTTGTGTGTCTGGAACATCACTGCATGTACCTGGCAGCGTTGCTTAATTATAACCTATTTCCTTTTGGTAACTCCTTTTGTTCTTTACGGAATTGCTATTGAAGTAAAGGGGGAAACCAGAATGCATCTTAAAACTACTTTCTAGTTAATAGCTATGTTATATTCTATAAATTTTTGTATGTACCAAGACCTGGATTCTGCCTTCAAGAAGCTAATGATGTAAACGATATGAAGAGAAACAGTGATAAAGAATTTCACAAAAAAGAATTTTTGCTTTGGCCTCTGATTGGTTTTTTCATTGGTTCTCCCAGAGTCTCCCTTCGGGTCAGCCAGCGCGGCCTGGTGAGAGGGTCAGTTGATTTAGATTTTGGAGGTGGCTTTACGAATGATGGATTCTTGGGGCACCTGGGTGGCTCAGTCGGTTGAGCACCTGACTTAGGCTCGGGTCATGATCTTGTGGTTTGTGAGTTCAAGCCCCACATTGGGCTCACTGCTGTCAGCACTGAGCCTCCTTCAGATCCTCTGTCCCTTTCTGTCTGCCCCTCCCCTACTTGTGCTATCTCAAAAATAAACATATAAGAATGACGGATTCTTTCACTTCTAGTAATTGTATTTAAAATTTTGTATTTAATTGTAAATTAAATTTAATTTAAAAATATTTAATTGTATTTAAAATTAACCACCAAAATTTTATACCTATTTACTCCCCTACCAACAGTGTGGGAGAGGGTCCATTTCCAAGTGTCTTTTCATCAACATGGATATTACGAATCCTTAAAATTTTTGCTGATGGGTGAAAAGCAGCATTCCTATTTTCTGTGTGTATGCGTTTTTAAAAATTTTTTTTCATGTTTATTTATTTTTGAGAGAGAGAGAGAGAGTGTGTGTGAGTGCATGAGCAGGGGAGGGGCAGAGAGAGAGGGAGACACAGAATCTGAACCAGGCTCCAGGCTCTGAGCACAGAGCCCGATGTGGGGCTCGAACCCACGAACCGCGAGATCATGACCTGAGCCGAAGTGGGATGCTCAACCTACTGAGCCACCCAGGCACCCCCTGTGTGTGTGTTTTTAATTACATGCTTCAATTGTAGACAAGTCTAATTGTTTCTGTAGGAAAGACCCTGTCCTCACATTCTTCTCATCTCCTCATTCTTAAGTTTAGGTTGTTGTTAAATTGTTACTTTTCCATTGTCTACGTTCGTAACACATTCTGTTCTCAAATCTTAAATTTTCATGATTGTTTTTTGTTTGAGCTCTGTAAGTAAGTTGATTCTATATCCACCAGTTCATCATCAGTCCTTTTATTATGGTGTGTCCACTCATGAGCTCTCTCTTTGGGTCTAGTTTTAAGTGTTTGTGTTCTGTTGTTGTTTCTATAAGATAGTCCTCCATTGGATTTTGAATTCCCTGAGATTTCTTTTTTTAATGTTTATTTTTGAGAGAGGAGGAGAGAGTGTGCGCACATGTGTGAGTGGGGGAGGGGCAGAGAGAGGGAGAGAGACAATCTGAAGCAGGCTCCGAGCTGTCAGTGCAGAGCCGGACATTGGGCTCAAACTCTGGAACCATGAGATCATGACCTGAGCCGAAGTCAGATGCTTAACTGACTGAGCCACCCAGGCAGCCCTGAATTTCCTGACTTTTTATGTTTGAGAATGTCTGCCTGTCTTTTACGATGATTTGGCTAGATAAAATATATATTTGGTTCATACTATGTTTTGGAATTCTTAAAGCATTACTCCATTTTAATCTGGTATTAAATGATGTGAAGAAGTGTGAGACTACTTTGATTTTTTTTTTTTTTTCTTTTTAGGCGGTTTCCTTTTTCATCTGGAAGCCTGAAAAATTGTTTCTTTTCCTATATTTTCTTTTAGCAGTTTTACCTTTCTCATTTAGGCCCTTTATCCATCTGTAGTTGATTTTTGTGTGTATATGAGGGAGTGGTCTATTTTCTTTTTTTTCCATGCGGATAATCAGTTGTCTCAACAGCATACATTGATGAAGGGGCATCCTTTTTTTTTTTTTCCCCTCAGTGCCAACTGTGTTATGTCAGGTTTCCACCTAGGTGTGAATTTGTTTCTGGGCTCTCTGATCTATTCTTCTGGTCTGTTCCTCTGTGATTGCCACACTATCTTACTATATATTTATAAGTCTTGAAATCCAGTGGAATAAGTCCTCTTACCTTATTCTTCATCAGGACTATCTTGACTGTTTTTTGGTGGTGGGGCAGGGGGGCTCTTTGCTTTATTGTATAAACTTTGTGATTGGTTTAACTCTAAAATTTGATAGGGATTTAGTTTGGGATTCCATTGTATCTAAAAGTCAATTTGGGGAAAATTGATCTTTAGAATATTGGGTAATCCTTTTCTTGAGTGTGGCATATTCCATTTATCTTACCACTAATGATGCTTATAAATACTGTTTTTCAGATTTTTTGGTGCTTTATGGTCTAGTATGTAATCAGTTTTCATAAATATATATTTGAAGAGAACATCAGGGTGCCTGTGTGGCTAAGTTGGTTAAGTGTCCAACTTCAGCTCAGGTCGTGATCTCACAGTCTGAGTTTGAGCCCCATGTCAGGCTCTGTGCTGACAGCTCAGAGCCTGGAGCCTGCTTCAGATTCTGTGCCTCCCTCTCTCTCTGCTCCTCCTCTGCTCATGCCCTGTCTCTCCCTGTGTCTCAAAAATAAGTAAACTTAAAAAAATTTTTTTTGAAAAGAACACCTATTCCCCCGATACGTGCAATGTTTTTAGATATGCTCATTAGATCAAGCTTGTTAATTATGTTGTCAAATCTTCTATAGCCTTTGCTGTTTTTTTTTTTTTGACAATATTTTTGGAAATGGAAGTAAAGATTTCTTTTTCTGTTTTTTTTTCTTTTTGAGAAAGTGCACAGCGGGGGAGGGGCAGATAGAGAGGGGGACGGGATTTGAAGCGGCACTGTGCTGACAGCAGCGAGCCCAGCGTGGGGCTCGAACTCAAGAACCCCAAGATCATGACCTGAGCCAAAGTTGGCTGCTAAAACCGACTGAGCCACCCAGGTGCCCCGGAAGTAAAGATTTCTTTCTTTTTCTCACAATTCAGTAGTTTAATCAGGATCTGTTGGGGTACTGAGTGGGTTGTCATTTTCCTGGAACATAGTTTGCTTTTTCTCAGATTGTACTCCAGATAAACTTTCTTTTATATTTCTACGTTGGTTGGCGTACTAGTTTACCAGGGCTAGTGTACTAGGAGACCCAGACAACTACACCTCTGCCAACCTCCTAAGTACTCCACCACACATTAAGCCTGAGTGATGTTTCCTGTTCGCATACGCAATTCTCGGATCCATCTCCAATAACCTAGGAAGGGTCTTAGCCCTAATTCTCTCCATCCTAGTTCTAACAAATCACATCAAAACAACAGGGAGGCTTCCAACAGCGGAAATTTATTCTCTCACCATTCTGGAGGCTGGGAGTCTGAGATGAATGTTTTGGTAGGGTTGGTTCCTTCTGGAGACCCTGAGGGAGAGTCTGCTGCAGGCCTCTCTCCTAGCTGCCGGAGGTTGCTGGCAGTCCTTGGCCTTCTTTGGTTTGTAGATGCAGTGCTCTGTCTCCTGCTTTCGTCTTCACATGGCCCTGTCACAGTGACACCAGTCGCTGGATTTAGTGCCCATCCTGGTACTGTATGACCTTGTTTTAATTTAATTACATCCACAAAAACCCTATTTACCACTAAGGTCCCATTCTGAGGTTCCAGATGTGTATGAATTGGAGATGGGGGATTATTCAATCTCATACATTTGGTTTCTTTTCTTCAGGTATACACATTTTCCTTACCTAAGTTTTGGATTATCTGTCTTGTAATTATCTGCTAATTTTCTCTAACTGCTTTAGCTTTTTGTCTTTTTGTCTGTGTTCACTGTAATTTCAACGAAACTTCCTGTGTCAGTAACTAAAATTTTCAGTAGTCTATTCTTACTTTGTTTCAAACTATGTATATGTATGTATGTGTGTGTGTGTATATATATATATATATAATATATATGTGTGTATAAATAGGTACTTTTATTATGATTTAGGTTGTTTTGTGTAAAAAGTCTAAGATTTCCGGTTTCAGCGTTTTTTTTTTTTCTTTCTGATGCTTAGTGTCCAACTGGTGGTTAAAAACAATAAAAAACAGAAAACTGTTTTTCCTGTTTCTCCCCGTCTCCATCTCTTTTTTCTAGTTATTGTCTCTGTGTAAGAGATTAGCCAAGATCTAGTGGTGTAAAACAGCCATTTTAATTCACTTCCCATTTTGTGGGTAAGGACTTCCGGAGGGCTCAGCTGGGCGGTTTGCCCTGATGTCTGGCTTGGTTGCAGTTCTCTGAAGGCTCACCTGGCTGGCGTCCGTGATCACGAACTCACTTGATGCCGCTTGTCAGCCGGGAGCTTAGCTGGCTGAAACACTTGCTAGTGATCTCTTGAGCATGGTGGCCTCAGGGTATTAATAGTGGGCTTCTCTCAAACGGAGTGTCCAGGTAGCATTTTCTGACCCAGCCTCAGAAGTCACACATTGTCGTTTTCACTACATCCTTTTGGCAACAGGCGAGTCCTAAGGCTAGCCCAGATTCAAGAGTAGAGAATTAGACTCTGCCTTATTGACGTGACAGTGACAATGTCACATTGTCAAATAGTTTGCAGGGTCGGAAATTCTGTTGTGGGCATCTTTGGAAAATATCTGCTATGCTCATTAATACAATTTTAATTTAATTTTATTTATTTAATAATATCTAATTTTTAATATTTAATTTTAATATTTAATATTATTTGTTTTATTTAATACAATTTTTTAATATAAAACTAATACAGGTTTTTAATGTATAAAGCAACTAATGCTATTAATCCTCCTTTTTTTTTTTTTTTTTTTTTTAGTTTATTTATTTATTTTGAGAGAGAGAGAGACCACATGCATGGGCGCACATGTGAGAGAAGGGCAAAGAAAGAATCCCAGGCAGGGTCCAGGCTCTGAGCTGTCAGCACAGAGCCCGACTTATGAACCGTGAAATCATGACCTGAGCTGAAGTCAGACACTTAACCGTCTGAGCCACCCAGGTGCCTCAACACCATTGATTCTCTTAACATATCAATTGTACCTTCATAATGTCTTTCAGGGGAATCCATACATGATTATCTCTTGCCTCGTAACCACCTTAGTTATGAATTCTGTAATTACATACTCAGCAAGATGGCACGTGTTTCTGCATGAATGTATGCTTTCCTTTTCCTTCTTGTTGTTTAGTGAATAAACATCATTGATACAGGAAGGTGAGTTGAAATGAGGATATTCTTTCAAGGTTAATTTAAATTGGACTCCCAGATACTTTTATCTATGGTTGTCTCTGAGAGGTATTCATCCTAGGATATAGAGATAGCTTCATTTGTCCTTTTTCTTCCCTCACCAGAAATAATTTGGGCATGTAACTCAGTTTTTAAGTTGGCATGCAGCTCTGGAGTAGTGTTAACAGGAGGACAAAGTGCATATCTGAAATGGAGTGATTTCTAGGATGCCTTTGGGCACAGACAGGAATTATTAAAAACAAATACTTGAGCATACAGCGCTGCAGTCTTGGGTAAAATGGCCAGCAGGCCTGCTGTTGCGCGTCAGGCCGGTGGCCAGAGGGTATTTGAAAATGGTGTTACAATGCTGCAGGGTTCAATAAACTGGGGTTAATGTGAGGTGTTACCATTTATGAACATGATGATATGAAAGAGGCCATAAAGCTTCCTGAGAACCTGTATAATGACAGCTTGTTTTGCATTCAGAGAGCAGTGGACCTGACCATAAGGCTACCTATCTTGCCTAAAGAGCAGTGGACAAAATATGAGCAGGATAAATTTTACTTTGCACCATATCTGAACGAAGTTATTTGGGAAAGAAAAGAGAAGAATGGGCAAAGAAATAATCACGGAGTTTAAGCTGGTGGTTGTAGCTGCCCTGAAACATTTTTTAGGAGTTGGATAAACCAGGGGCACCTGGGTGGCTTAGTCGGTTAAGTGTCTGATTTCAGCTCAGGTCATGGTCTTTCAGTTCGTGAGTTCGAGCCCCATGTCAGGCTCTGTGCTGACAGTTCGGAGCTTGGAGCCTGCTTCGGATTCTGAGTCTCCCTCTCTCTCTGACCCTCCCCTGCTCACGCTTTGTCCCTGTCTCTCAAGAATAAATAAAACATTAAAAAAAGTTAAAAAAAAACCAAAAAACAAAGAAGTTGGGTAAACCTGAAGTGTACAATTCAGAACTATTTGAACTGCAAATGTACTACTTTACGTGAATGTCTATTTATTTAAAAAACATAAATGCTTACTTTATTTAAACTATAGATGTTTTTGTAGCTAAGATCTAAATCTTGTAGAGAAATGTGGGATAAATGTTACTGAGGGATTGCTATGTGTAATGAGTGTTATGAAGCCAGTGATTTAAATTCTTTGTTACTAAGTGGTCTCCTAACATTGCATATGAAATGAATGTGCTTGGACTATTGAATTTTAGGCTTGTCTGGAGCAGGAAAGACCACAGTGAGCATGGCTCTGGAGGAGTACTTGGTTTGCCACGGTATCCCATGCTACACTTTGGATGGTGACAACATCCGTCAAGGCCTCAATAAAAATCTTGGCTTTAGTCCTGAAGACAGAGAAGAGAATGTTCGACGCATTGCAGAAGTTGCTAAGCTGTTTGCAGATGCTGGCTTAGTGTGCATCACAAGTTTTATATCCCCTTATACTCAGGTATGTAGCTTTTGTACCATTGCTGTTCTGACATCATCGAGTGAGATGGCCTCAGGCAAAACAAGTAATTGAAACGCTCATGTATGCTTCGAAGCTAAATTCAAATTAAAATAATTAACCTACAACACTTTTGTGCTGGGACTTTCTGAGTAAATTCCATTTTAATAAAACCTGTTATGACTGCCCCTGCCTCCCAAAGTATAACCAAACTTGTTGACCTCAAGCCAGTGGCCACATTATTTCAAGCTTGACTTTTCAACTCAATAAATGTATAATGAATACTCAATGTGTGTCAGACACCCAGGGAAAGTCTTAAGTTTCTTAACATGTGCCTGACCATGGCTTCTTTGCTCACAGACAGAAGCACTCTCCTCTTTCATCACATTCCTCCTCTTATTTTAGCACTAATTCACTGTTTTGTAGTTCTCTTAAAAAATCATGTCATTTCTCACGTGAGATTTTTGTTTCCCCACCTGGAAGGCACTCTTCTCCTTTGATCGATCCTTCTCTTCTTGCCATCAGTGGACTCCTGTTCGTGCTTTCAGGCTCAGGTTAGGCATCTCCTCCTCCTGAGTGCCTTCCCTTTCTCCCTCAGCCTTTGTGGGGTACCTGTCTTTGGTGCCCTTGTTATTGTGCCCTAACCCTTTGTTTTATTACAAATGCTAGTTCATTGGTTGGCGGTGGTAATAGTGGCAGCAGTCATAGTGGTGATGGTGGTGGTGGTGGTGGTGGTGGTAATGAAAATAATAGCAGCTAACATTTATTAAACGCCAGCTGTATACCATGAATGAACTCACGTAGTTCTTATCACCCAATGAAGAAGGCAGAGTAGTAATGAAAATAATAGCTAACATTTATTAAACGCCAGCTGTATACCATGAATGAACTCACTTAGTTCTTATCACCCAATGAAGAAGGCAGAGATGAGGAAAAAGGTGTAAATTACCCAGGGTCACTGTACATGGTAGAGCAAGGCACCCAGACAATGTCATTGGAATCCATATACCTACTCACCACGCTTTATTGCCTCTAACCCCCACTGGTTCCTTGAAGGCTGAAACTACATCTTCTTTATCTTTATAATCTTGATGCCAAGCCCAGCTTCTGGAATACAGTAGATATTTAGTGTTTGTTAAATGACAGCATCGTACAGATGTGAAAGAGCAGGTGAATTACTATGTGGTTAAAAGCAGGGACTTTGGAGCCAGAAACAATGGGTTGGAATCTCACCTCTGCCTGTTATGACCTTGGCCAGTTGAGTTGACCTTCCTAAGCTCAGATAATGCCTACCTCTCAGTGTTGTTCTGAGGATTAGGTAAATCATGCGTTCAAAGCTTTCAGCATGGTGCCTGGTGTGTACTAAGTATTGAGTAAATATAAATAATAGCACAATTCTAGTGTTGTATCATGAATTTGGATGGTTACATAGACTTTTTTTTTTAAAGCCAAAATAAAACATGAACTGTAAGAGTTACAGGTAAGTATCAGATGGAGTGTTAATTGTAAAGATTCACTTAACTGAACCATGGCAGGAGTCCTAAAGGGTCCTGTGAGGACTAAGTACTTTTCATTTGCCTGAAACATTGGGATCAGCATCAATACATCCGTTTAAAGTATACTGGATCATGAAGTGTGTAAGACAATGATAGTTGTTTGAGTTCTTGAATCCTTGATATAAACAGTTTCATCGTAATGTAACAACTGATATTCTTGCACATTCTGGAAATCTTTGCAACTCTTAGAAGAGGAGAAAGTAACGTGATTTGGAGAGCTGTCAGCTGGATTTCTAAAAGTATGTACTGATCTGCTTTTTGGCCCCCTTGTTTCCATAGTACGGAGCGAAATTTGTTGCTCTCACTTCTAAAAGCACAGAGAGTGAGGTTTGGACTGTGCTTAGGTCATGTCAAAATCTGTGATATTTGCATCAAACCATATGATACAGGATATGTGTATTATTCTATGTCACCATTGAACTTGGGCATCTTGGTTCTGAAAATAAACCTGATAGTTACTAGCCAGTCTGGTGGGATCATAGAGATGTGAACAGTTACAATATGTTGAAGCAGGTGATTAGGTAAATGTATATGAGAGGTGCTGTGGAAGAATCGCAGAGGAGATGATGCCTGAAATGAGTGATGGAGGATGAATCAGAGCATACTATTGAGACCAGAGGGAGAAAGCTATTTTAACAGAGACGTAGTACAGTGTTTGCAGCAGCATGGAAATGTGGGGGAGTCTGGTCTTTTGGGGAACTGTAGGTACTTTGTTACGACTGCCGTGCAGGGTGAATGTGAGGGGAGATGAAGCTAGAGCTATTCGCAGAGGTTCGATGATGAACCTTGACTACTCAGGACTTTGCCCCATAGGGCAAAACTTGACAGTTTGAGATTGTTCTAAGGAACGCTGTCTCTGGGTTTGCATTTTAGTAAGGTCACCTTTGAAGCTTGGAATGAGAGTGGTCTGGAGATAGGAGACTGGTGAGGAGGCTTTCAGAGTGAATTCAAACAGCAACAATGGGAATGGAAAAGATGGGGCCTATTTGAGGGCTCTTAAGCCTGTAGCATCGGTAGGACTTGGTGCCTGCTTGATTGTTGAATTTGGGGTGAGCACGAATGATGGTTCTTTCTGAATAGAAGATGGTATGTTTGAGTTAGAAAATACAGGAGGGGAAGGGAGGAGATGACTATTTCATTTTAGGTGGGTTAGGTTTGAAATCCTAGTAGAGTAAGCAGGTCATTGGAAAATTGGTTCTCAGAAAAGCTGTGTAGAATTGAGATAGATTTAGGAATCACTAACTTTGTTAATTAAAACCCAGTCGAAGTTGAGTATATATAGAGTATATAGAAGAGTTGTATAGAATGGGAAGAGAGCCGTGGACAGAAACTTGGAAATACATTCATACAAAAGGACAGTTAGGATCAGTTAAGGTCACATCTTAATCATTCTACCACATGCTGTGGTTATTATAGCTAATGAAAGATATATCGGAATAAGATCTATGATAGGTATATAGCAGGTATTCTGAGAAGCCAGAGGAATCAAGGGCCCTCCGTCAGCCTGGGCATGCAGGTTGGGCTTCCTGGAGGATGTCAGCACAGAACTGTGCTATGAGGAGAACGTGCTTTAGCCAGAAGAGAGGGGTGGAGGGTTTTGAGCAGGGAGGGTGGCTAAGGCCTAAGGTCCAAACACCTGGTAACAGCCAGGTGTTAATTATTAATAGACTATCTAGCGTAAGACTGAGAAGGGTGGGGCCAGGTATAGAACACCTGATGCCTCTCCCTGAGAAGCCTGGGTTTTACCCTGATGGTGGTAGGGAATCTCTGAAAAGTTAGCCACATGGTTGAATTTGCATCCTCTGCTATTCTAGGGACAGTGTTAGGGTATGGCTTTGAGCAGATCAAAGCTAAAAGCCAGCAGACTGATTAAAAGCATGTTTTTGCAGTTGACCAGGAATGAGGTTGAACTTGGGAGTAGGGAAGACGTGCAGACTGGGTTGGTGTAATAGAGGCAAAATCTGAAGGACTTCGTGGCAGAAGGCAGAGGGGGTGGGGTGTGGAACGAAGGGAAGGAACCAGAACAACTCTTGGGATTCTGGGTGAATAGTGCTGTCATCCTTGATTTGGGCAGTATAGGCAGGGATGTCAGCTGGGGAGAAAAGAGGGTGGATGCCATTATGGACATACTAAGTTTGAGGTGCCCGTGAGATCTCCAGGTGGGTATATTTAGGAGGAGGTTGGAAAGGTGTGTTTACTTCCAGGAGAGAGGGTAGGGCTCAGGCTGAAGCATTAGTGTATATGTATGTTGTAGTCGACACTGTGAAGGCTGCTGAGGAAAGTGCTCAAGGACTGACTTCATGTGAGCAGTGGGCTCCTAATGGGCTGTGGGCAACACCAGTGTCGAAGGGATGGGGAAGTAGGAGGAGCCGTGGGAGCCTGCATAGGAATGATTAGGAAATAGCGTCACTGGAATATATAGAGTTAGTAGTGTGAACAGCAGCAGAAAGTCCTGTAATTCAAAGGCTGAAGAGTACTTATGATTAAGGGATTTTTGTGTGATTTGTTCACTTTTTTTTTTTTTTTTTTAATTTTTTTTTTTCAACGTTTATTTATTTTTTTGGGGGACAGAGAGAGACAGTGATGAACGGGGAGGGCAAAGAGAGAGGGAGACACAGAATCGTGAAACGGACCCAGGCTCTGAGCCACTTATCAGCCCAGAGCCCAGCGCGGCCTCAACTCCGATGACGGCGGAGATCGTGACCTGGCTGAAGTCGGACGCTTAACCGACTGCGCCACCCAGGCGCCCCTGTTCACTTTTTTTTTTTAATGTTGATGTATTTTGAAAGAGTATAAGCATGTTCAAGAGTGGGGGAGGGGCAGAGAGAGACTCTTAAGCAGGTTTCTGGCTGTCAGCCAAGTTGAGCGGCATTGAACTCCACAAACTTGAGAGTCATGACTGAGCTGAAATCAAGAGTCAAACACTCAACCTACTGAGCCACCCAGGCGCCCTAGTTCACTTTTTTTAAAAACGTTTATATGAGAGAGAGCGCGTGTGCGCACATGCACAAGAGAGCCCAAGCAGGGAAGGGGCAGAGAGAGAGGAGGAGGAGAGAGGTTCTGAAGCAGGCTCCCTGCTAACAGCAGCAAGGCAGATGTGGGGCTTGAACATCCAACTGTGAGATCATGACTTGAGCCGAAGTTGGACGCTCAACCGACTGTGCCACCCAGATGCCCCCGCAGTTCTCTTGTTTTTAATGGATAAGTGACTTGTTGCCAGGGGAAAAGGCTGGCAGAGAAGGAAGAGGATTTCAGATGGAGGGGGGAAATGGATTGAGGAAGGTCCATTAGAGGGGTGGCTCTGGGATTCAAAGGGAGGAAGGAGTAGCAGGAGTGAGGGAGACAAAGGTTGCTGGGCATGTGGATACATTTATATGGCTAAGAGGAGATTGAGAGCATTCGTGCCTGCGGATCTTCGTTTTGAAATGCGGAAGAGGAGGGGCGCCTGGGTGGCGCAGTCCGTTAAGCGTCCGACTTCAGCCAGGTCACGATCTCGCGGTCCGTGAGTTCGAGCCCCGCATCAGGCTCTGGGCTGATGGCTCAGAGCCTGGAGCCTGTTTCCGATTCTGTGTCTCCCTCTCTCTTTGCCCCTCCCCCGTTCATGCTCTGTCTCTCTCTGTCCCAAAAATAAATAAACGTTGAAATGCGGAAGAGGAGAGTAGTGACAGTGGAAGTAGGGGCCATAAGAAATGTGAATGGTAAAATGAGCTGTGTGGGGATAGAGTGGCGGGAGTTGCAGGGCTGGCTTTGGAAATGTTGGCACTGCTTGTGTCTAGCATATGAATGTGGAGGTGGCCTTGAGTATGGAAAGATGAGTGGATCTTAAGGGGGAAACAGTTTTAGCTTAGACAGAAAGAAGAGGTTGACTTAGGAAACTGTTCCGGAGCAGTGAAGGTGATTACCAGAGAGTTGGGGGGTTCGGGGCAGGACAGAAAAGTAAAGTTTTGGGAGTGCTAGAGATGAGAAGTGGTCGCAGGACCTTGTATTTGGCAAGGAGATAAACCACCTTGAGGACTCTGAATGGACTCAGGCTCAGGCTAAGATTGAACATGTTATGAGAGGCCTGATGGCACCTGCATTCAGGCTGGGCTTTGACTGTGGTTCCCTGTAAAATTTAGGTGAAAGTTTTTACAGGGCATCTGTTGTTTTCCCTCCTGGAACTCCCCAATATCTTGGATTTTTAGAATATCAAATTTTAAAATCGTTATGAAGAAATAGTTTCTTGGGTTAAATTTTTTTTGTTTATATTTTAAAATATAAATTAAGTTTTGTCTAATGTTTAATTTTCCACTGCCTCAGCTGATAAAGCACTTTTACTCATCCTTGATCATTTAGAGTACCTTTGATTCGTATGAGCACCTTTTATTATGTTTCTCTACATCTTTTTTCTAAGGATCGCAACAATGCAAGGCAAATTCATGAGGGTGCAAGTTTACCGTTTTTTGAAGTATTTGTTGATGCTCCTCTGCATGTTTGTGAACAGAGGGATGTTAAAGGACTCTACAAAAAAGCACGGGCTGGAGAAATTAAAGGTAAGTTTCCCTTTGCTTGCATTTTTTTTAAGACTTTATTTTTAAATAATCTCTACACCCAGTGTGGGGTTCACATGCAACCCCGAGATCAAGGGCTGCATGTTCTACTGACTGAGCCAACCAGGCGCCCCTTTGCATACTTTATCTTGCCATGTCTGAGACTGATCATCTTTGCTAAGAGATTGGGAATATTCAAACAACTTGGAGCTCCTTGAGAAGAAAAAGTGGGTCTTAATACTATGCTCTTGTGTCTCTGAAGCCTACCAGCAGTACCTGGCACCGTGTGTAATACTCAGTGGGAATGGTTGGTCAGGTTGGAATCCTCCCAAGACAGAGTTTTAGAAGGTTGGGACTTCTGGGGCTGTTGGAAACCTACTTGGTATAATTAGGTGCATTAGACTGCATAGCAATTGCTAGCTGCTGCCACTTCTGCTTTTTGTTCCAGTGAAAATGAAGGAAATTCCATAGATCATGGGAATTGTAAACATTTTGAAAGCAAAACCAGTGCCTTGTTCTTATTTATATCATGGTGTGGAATGGTCCCTTATTCATTCGGTGTACATTTGTTTAATTAGGTTGAATTAATATATCTCTGATTCCATCAAAATGAAGATACCTTGATTTTAAAAATTTTTATGCTTTGCTCCTAAAGTTACAACTACGATGAACATTTGGACATAGGAGACATTTAGAACCTGTCTGATGTGACCTTTGATACCAATTATATTAATCTTCTAGGTATCGTTTAACATTAGTTCTGTTCTATTATTGTTAACAACAGAGGACGTGCCGGGGATTGATTACTCAGCGCTGTGTAGGGATCAATGATTCATGCAGGTAACTGCTGCCTTCCCAATAGGGAGTATAATAGCCTGGGACTATCACAGGAGCTCTGTGAATTCAAGATTTTGTCACTCAGCTTCTGGTTCTGCATAGCAAAAGGTGGAACAGGAAGGACTATGCCGTTATTCTGGGCTCTTCTACATTTGGACCTGGGGATGCTTAACCAGTTGGGGCAAGTGTGGGGCAAGTTCCACCTGCTGTGGTGAAACCTGGTTCCTTAGGCAAGGCTGGCATTCAGTTGTGCCACCAGGGAAACTCAGTTTCACCCATGAAGCCTGTGCTTTCTTGACTCAAAGAGAACAGGTTGCCTGACCTGAATAACTGACAACATTAGGAGGGAAACCAGTTCAGCTCTTCATCATCTGTGTCCGCCTGTCCCTGTCGATGGCCACTTTTCACTTCAGTTTCTCAAAATACAGATTTGGCAAAGAGAAGCAAAATGATGTGTCTGGGATCTTGAAATCTAAATCTTATTTTAATTTTAGTTGGCTTTGTTTTTGCAAGGATGGATTGGTGAGGGAGGTAGATTTGTCTCTGGCTGGAGTAAACTACTTTTGAACAGGGATAACATCTTGAATATTTTTGTATCATTAGAGTTACACACATAGTAAATGCTTATTGGATAGATTAGAAGATAGAGTGGAAATTGGATGTTCAACACACATTGATCAATGCTACCTGTTTGCAAGCTGTGTGTTTGCTGCTGAGATGCAAAGATGAGTAAGACCACATGCAAAATACCTTGAGTTATTTGTAATTTGCATTCTATATTTGGGAGTGTGTTTGTAGTAGCTTAGTTTTCTCTGTGTTACTTATTTACTTTCTTGACTGTTTTCTGTCTATTCCTCTCGGTAGACATTAATAAAATGTTCCTTAGATTAAAATATATGTGTTAGAGTCCCCGATTGTAGAGTTGTATGTATGTACACATGTATGTATGTATTTATTTAGAGCCCCACGCATGAGTGGGGGAGGGGGGGGAGAGAGAGAGAGAGAGAGAGAGAGAGAGAATCTCAGCCTCCATGTTCGGCATGGAGCCTGACATGGGGCTCCATCCTGTGACTCTGAGATCATGACCTGAGCTGAAATCAAGAGGTGGATGATCAACCAACCAAGCCACCCGGGCACCCCTGGAGTTGTTAGTATTTAAAAACCGTGTACTGGGGCGCCTGGGTGGCTCAGTCAGTTAAGCGTCCGACTTCGGCTCAGGTCACGATCTCACAGTTCGTGAGTTCGAGCCCCGCGTCGGGCTCTGTGCTGACAGCTCAGAGCCTGGAGCCTGTTTCAGATTCTGTGTCTCCCTCTCTCTGACCCTCCCCCGTTCATGCTCTGCCTCTCTCTGTCTCAAAAATAAATAAACGTTAAAAAAAAAAAAGTTAAAAACCGTTTACTCATTGTCAGGATGGTAAATGCTGTTTCAGAGTTGTGATGGTAAATGTTCAAGGACAGAAGAGATTGTATACATTCAGCAGACCTCAGGCTTTTAGAGGGCTTTTTGTAACACTATAACTATCCCTGTGTCAGCCATTCTAATGATTATTTTCATGATTACTGCTCAAGTAGTTGTTATTTACTTAAATATAAATGTTTTGCTTAAGCATACATTTATTATAATCATTTATGGGATAAATTAGCTAGAAAGAGAATTCCTGGGCTTTTAAAATAAGACAAATCTTCTAACACAGTGGTTTTCAGGCTTTGCTGCACAATAGCATTATTTGAGTGAAGTTTTAAAAATCCTATGCCAAGCCCAAATCAGAATCTAATGCAGGTGGGACCTGGCGATTGCATTGTTTAGCTGCATTTGAGAATTAGAGCTTAAGAACTAGTGTTTTAACCAGAATTATTTTTCCCTAGCTATTCTATTGTGACTCACCACTAAATACTATTAGGAATATTGGTAATGCAGAAATCTCTTCTTGGATTCAGGTCTTCATGTGATACTTAGAAACATGAAATAGAAGAAAACAAGTGGGCTGTAGACTTGTCTATTACATTTTAGAACTCTTGGTGACTGCACCTCTTAATAGTAATTTATTTTATTTTATTTTGTTTTATTTTATTTTACTTTATTATATTTTATTTCAGTTATTTTTTTTAAGGAGATAGAGGTTTATTGAATATGCTGCAATGGGGTGGTTGGCATGACAGCAGAGAAGAGGCTGTCAATAGTAATGATTTTAACTTTTTTTTTTTTAATGTTTGTTTATTTTTGTGAGAGAGAGACAGAGCATGAACGGGGGAGGGGCAGAGAGAGAGGGAGACACAGAATCCGAAGCAGGTTCCAGGCTCTGAGCAGTCAGCACAGAACCTGACGCGAGGCTCAAACTCACGAGCTGTGAGATCATGACCTGAGCTGAAGTCGGATGCTCAACCGACTGAGCCACCCAGGTGCCCCAATAGTAATGATTTTAAAGTAATGTTTACCATTTTAACCCGAAGGTTGACCTAAGCACTTCAAGGCAGACAAGCCTTAAATGACTTCTGTAGGGGGTCGTGTCAAGGGTGTAAGATAGGAACAGCATATCTTCAGCTCAGCTAGCCCATTCTTGGGAATCATCCTGTATTCTTTCTCTTTGGCAATTACATGGTAACATATTTAAAGGGGAAATCTAAATAGTGGTTGACACATAAACTGATTATGTTTGATTGTAGAATGTATTTTGTGATGTGACAGGATTAGCTCCCTTAGTTACGTTTTGCTTAAGCTAATAGTGGTTACTTTGTCTTGAACACTTAGTCCTGGTAGCAGAAGCAGCCTTCAGAGCTTCAGTTTGGCTGTAGATAATCCTTGTGAATATAATGCACAGATTACCTTGGTGTCAGTGTTTGCATTGAGAGGAAAAAAAACCTCATCTAGTTTGGTTTATGACTAGGGTTTAAGTACTGTATTCTGTCTTCCTGTGGAGACATTGAGGTGCCCTGGATCACTTGGTATTTATTCCTATTTATTCATAGGCAGTTTGGGCATTTAGTTAAAAGAAAAAAGGTGACAGAAGAAGTTATAGTCAATCCTCATTATTTGAGGATTCCATATTTGCAAGTTTTCCTACCTGCTAAAATTTTTAACCCCCCACATGAGTACTCATGGTGCTTAGGCAGTCACTTGTGGACACACACAAAGTGGCAAAAATTTTAGTCCTCCCACCCGAGTACACGTTCCCAGCTGAAGTTGAACAAAGTGACACCCAGCCTTCCTGTTTAGCTTTCATACTGTAAAGAAGTGTCAAAAAGAATCTGGTGATGACTGAGCCTTGCAGGAAGCTGACCCCATGTTTCCCCTAGGGGCCAGTGGTTTCAGTAGTCACTCACTTAGTGTCCGTGGCAACTTTGTTGAACTGTGAGTGAGAATTACCTGTACATGTTTAAAGGAGAAACAAAAGTTTAATCAGAAGTCTTCTCCCAAGGAAGAAGTTTCAATACTATAACCTTGTAACTCAGAAGGGTTAGTGTAAATGTGAACTTCACCATAGCAGAGACTTGCACCAAAGAAACAAGCTTGTTTTAATTTCTACCCCCTTCAATGCTCTGGTACCTTTTGTAGGTTTCACTGGAATCGATTCTGAGTATGAAAAACCAGAGGCTCCAGAATTGGTGCTGAAAACAGACTCCTGTGATGTGAACGACTGTGTCCAGCAGGTTGTGGAACTTCTACAGGAACGGGTAAGGGAAGGTCAAAGAGAGAATCATCAGAATAAATAATATTCATCTCGTGATCTTCCCCCGCCAAAAACAAAACAAAACAAAACAAAAAAACAGGTGATGCTAATATGTAGTATATGGTGCTGACAGTTTTCTGAGAGTGTACGTCCCTGTGTTAGGTGTTGTGGGGGCCCCAGTGTATACAGTATGAAATACGTTGGTCAACGTGAACCATAGGAGGCTTGGGAGCCAAAAAATCTTTTATTTTACCAGTAGTTTTACCACACAAATACCTAATAGAGAATATTCAGCCTTGATTATTTAGCTCTACAACTTGGTATTATTGTATTTTTTTTTTTTTTATTTAATGTTTATTCGTTTTTGAGAGACAGAGACAACGTGTGAGTGGGGGAGGGGCAGAGAAAGGGAGGCACAGAATCCGAAACAGGCTCTAGGCTCTGAGGTATCAGCACAGAGCCTGATGTGGGGCTCGAACCCACAAACCATGAGATCATGACCTGAGCTGAAGTTGGATGCACAACTGACTGAGCCACTCAGGCGCCCTGACGTTATTGTACATAATGCAGGTAACTTTTCCTAGACATTTAGCGAGTGCCCAGATCTTAGCCTGTGCGACATGATGATACCCTTATGGTTGAGTTTTAGGAAGGGAAAGGTTCTAGGACATAAAGATCTTTCTTTGGTTCCGGAGCATGTAGAAGCATAAAGAGGCTGGCTATTTTCCCAAGGACTCAAGCCATTTATTAGATACATGATTCTCTCAGAGTTTAGTGCAGTCTCCCTAATTAGAAATTCTTTTTTTTTTAATTCTTTTTTTTGTAATTCTTTTTTTATTTTAATTTATTTGAGAGAGACAGAGACAGAGTGAGCGGGGGAGGGAAAGACAGAGAGAGAGAGGGAATCCCAAACAGGTTCTGCGCTGCCAGAGCAGAGCCCGATGGTGGGCTTGAACCCATGAAATGGTAAGATCATGACCTGAGTTGAAACTGAGAGTCAGATGCTCAACTGACTGAGCCAACCAGGTGCCCCCTAGAAATTCTTTTTCTTTCTTTCCCTGCTCCTTTCTTCACGCTTCCATGGGCCCAGTGGAGGGTCATGCACTTAACTCAGGGAGGACCTGGCCTTTGGGTGGGCGTCAGTTGTTACTCTTTCTCCTAGTCATGGTGTCCCCACCTTTGCTGCCTAGTGCTGTGCAGGAACTCCTGTTTAGTGGTACACAGACAACAATGCATTGTTGTGCCCCATTCTGTTTTAACTGTGGCCTGGGGCATCTGAACCCCCTCTTGATGTTTCAGATCTTATTACCATAATCCTCTGTCATCTAGTATTTCTTACTGGATGTATTAGACATCAACTTAAAAACATTACCTGTGTCTGGATATATTATAGATGTTTGGCCTTAGAATTGTTTTCACATTATAAAATATCTGCCAGATAATTTACCTGGAACTCCCGAATGTATTTCCCTAAATGTTTTCGCCAAATGAGTAGAAATAATGTGAATGTGTAATGGCACTGCTCCGATGTTTTTCTCCGTATGTATTGGCGTACAGTCTGCAGGCTCACGAGACCCCATCCTGGGAGGTTTTCTGTGCTTCGTCTTTCTGCTGTCTGGGTTTCCTGTTAATCGGCTTCTGAGCTCTGCTGCTGGTCCTGCTGCTGTGCCTCTGGCTTCCCTCTTCATTATCCATTCTTTCATCGTCAGCAGTCAGACGTCTGTCAGAAGCTCACTACTTATTTTGTCACAGTCCTAAGCACTGGCAATACAAAGATTAATCAGCCATGTCTCTGTCCTTGAGGGATTTACACTGTCGGTGATGGAAGTGGGGATAAGAGGGTGCAGCTGCTAGAGGCGTGTTAGAAACATGGTTTCAGTGTGCACAGAGCATTCTGGGAGGCACACAAGAATGAGTTTGGAAAGGCTTTATTCCAGATCTTTCTCACCTGTTCGTTTTTAAAAGATTTTTTTGGGTGCCTGGGTGGCTCGGTTGAGCACCCAACTTCGGCTCAGGTCATGGTCTCATGGTTTGTGAATTTGAGCCCTTCGTCGGGCTCACTGCTGTCAGCACAGAGGCTGCTTCGGATCCTCTGTCTCCTTCCCTCTCTGCCTCTCTCTCTCCTGCTCATGCTCTCTCTCTCAAAAATAAACATTAAAAAAAATAAAAGATATTTTCACTGGGCATAGTATTCCGAGTTGACGGGTTTTGTCCCTTTTAGTACTTTAAAGATGATGTTCTATGTTCTGTGGTCCTCTGCATTGCTTCTGATGAGAAGTTCATTTCTTGGCTCCTCTCCTTGTAATGTTTCCTTTTATTTCCGCTTGGATTCAAGATTTTCTCTTACTCCTTAGTTTTTAGCAGTTTGAGTATGTTTGAGCAGTTTGAGCAGTTTTAGGTTTTTTTTCTTTCAGTTTAGAGTTCTTTGACTTGTTCTTTTATTACTTTCTGAAAACTCTTTTTGGCCACTATCTCTTCAAATATTTCTTTTGCCCTGTTCTTTCTCTTTTTCCTGGGATTCCAGTTAGACATATGTTAGGCAATGTAATACTGTCCCACAGCGTTTATGTGCTCTGTGCTTTCATTCTTTTTATGTTAATTTGTCAGCTTTAATAATTTTTACTCTCTTATTTTCAAGTGTAGTCATTCCTCTGTTGTATCCAGTATATTGACACTTAGAATTATTAAACTTCGATAATCATTACAGAAATTATATCATAATTTGGCTCTTTTTTAATTTTTTTATTTTAGAGAGAGCAAACGAGTGGGGGAGAGGGGCAGAGGGAGAGAGAGAATCTTAAGCAGGCTCTATGCTCAGCACAGAGCAGAACTTGATCCCGTGAACTGTGAGATCATGACCTGAGCTGAAATCAAGCGTCAGATGCTTGACAGAGCCACTGAGGTGTCCCTCTAGTCAGTGATTCTGAATTGTTTTATAGAACCTCAGGGAAATACACATTGATACTCTCATATATAATGTAGGGGGCTCATGAATCTCTGAAGCCATTTTAGGGACTCCAGTTAAAACCAGGCAGTTCAGATACTTATATGGGGCTATTAAACTTAGCGTGTGATGGGTGCTGTGTCATCTCCCTTCTGTCTTTACTTTCATTCCTAACCACTTCTTTGAGGCCCTACATAGAATAGCATCCTTTGGGTTTGACCCTTCACCTACATAGAGGCTTTTTTTTTTTCTTTTTCTGTAGTGAGCGGGTGATTTTGTTGTTTTTTAAAACTATTTTGAGAAAATTTTACAACTTTTCTGTAAATGTAAAAGAGTACAGAGAGTTCCTTATATCCTTCACCCAGTTTCCTATTATTTTCATACTTTACATGACTATAGAACATTTCTCAAAACTAAGAAATTGACCCTGGTAAGATACTGTAAACTACATGACAAATTTACTTGTATTTCACAGGTTTTTCCACTAAGGTCCTGTCCTGTACTAGGATTTGATCCAGGATCTCATCCTGTGTTTAGTGTTAAATTGGGTTTTAACCATGATTCTGTGAAATGAAAACACAGACTTCAGGTAGTGCCTGTCATGCCCAGGACTTTTGCAGTTCCCCCGTCCCCAGTAGTTAAAAATTGAGGGTAAACTGCCCCCGTATGATTTTCAGCTTGTACTACCTGATATTTCCTTAACTGGTCACCCCATCTCCAGTTTGATATGCCTTTTAAAGATTAAAAAAAATTTTTTTTCTAATGTTTATTTTTGAGAGAGAGAGAGTGAGCTTGTGTGAGTGGGGTAGGGGCAGAGAGAGGGCGACAGAGGATCCGAAACAGGCTCTGAACAGACAGTAGGGAGCCTGATGTGGGTCTTGAACTCATGAACTGTGAGATCATGACCTGAGCTGAAGTCAGACACCCAACCAACTGAGCCACCCAGGCGCCCCTGATATGCCTTCTCTTCCATCCTGTATCATTCACACAGTCATCTTTCTAAAGTGTAGTCTAGGTTTTGTTTTGTTTTGTTTTTTTTACTCTAAAGAATTTACTGATTTTCCCACGGTTTATAGAGTTAAGGTGATCTGTGTTCAAGGTTCTCCACAGTTTGGTTCCAAGCTACGTATTTTCTTATTATTGTCCTTATGTATTTATTCTGCCACAGTATTATTACTGTTTTTTTCTTGGTGCTGTTGCTTGCTTTAGTGTCTGTGGCTTTTTTTTTTTTTTTAATTTTTTTTTTTCAACGTTTATTTATTTTTGGGACAGAGAGAGACAGAGCATGAACGGGGGAGGGTCAGAGAGAGAGGGAGACACAGAATCGGAAACAGGCTCCAGGCTCTGAGCCATCAGCCCAGAGCCCGACGCGGGGCTCGAACTCACGGACCGCGAGATTGTGACCTGGCTGAAGTCGGACGCTTAACCGACTGCGCCACCCAGGCGCCCCTAGTGTCTGTGGCTTTAATTAAAGCCTTGCTTCCAATGTGTTTGCCCCTAATCAATAATTATACTAATTGTTCTTCTTTATAGGTGGTAGTTAGTCTATGTTGTACCTGCTAGACAGTCGATGATTGGACAGTTTCATTCTGTCTAGATAAAAAAACTAACATTTACTGAGTATCTAAGGGTCATATGTGTGGGACTTTGTGTCTTTTATTTATTAATATATTTAAATGTTTATATTAGTGCACACACGCTTTCATGCAGGGGAGGGGCAGAGAGAGAGGGGACAGAGGATCTGAAGCGGGCTTTGTGCTGACAGCAGAGAGCCCTATTTGGGGCTATAACTCACGAACCATGAGATCATGACCTGAGCTGAAGTCAGAAGCTTGACCTACTGAGCCACCCAGGCACCCTGCTTTGTATCTTTTAAAATATTTGTTTTGATTGTTAGAATCTGGGTGGAAGTGACCTTTCTCCTAGTTTAGCTTTCAGCTACTTCTCATTTGACTGTGATGTGACAGTTTCCCAAGTGGTCTTTGTGCTGAGTATTTTGTGTAAGTACTCTGGTTTTATTCAATACAGTAAACCCCTGAGGTGTTTTAGAGATACTAAGT